TTTCTTCTGTTTCTGACCTCTACATCTAATTTATAGGGCTCATGAGATTACGCAGTCCTAAGCAAGATAATTTCCTTTTTGTCATTAAAGGCAACATAGTCACAAAAGTAATATCATATTCACAGGCTTGACACACACGATTAAAACATGATTCTCACTTATGGGAATATATGTAAGCCAAAATATAATTTCTTATCAATCCTCTGACTACAGCATATGAGCCACAAGCATATAAGCCACAATTCTTATAATGCAAGATATCTTCCACTTACTTCTGCAATGTTTTGTACACGCCTGGCATTATGTAATGGATATATAATTGTAGAGAAATTGGATGATGTTTTGTTGGGTTTGACTGTTGGGCTGGAGCTTTCTGACACTCTCAATTGTCTTCATTGTTCAAAGTGGTTAAGTGATAGATTTTGCATGTAGGTCCTTGACAGTTGAATATCCTCATCCAATCCCAAGTGAAGTTTCTAGTGAATCCCAAACAACTCCATTCTTTTTCTGAACTACAAAAACCATGAATATGAAAATTGCAAAAGGAACAAATCAGCCAAAACCTATGCATATGTAATGAAGGTGCATCAACCAGCCATTTGCTTCTTCAGTAATAATAGAACATCCTTTCCCTTCCAGCCTAATTCTACTCTCCTTACTTACAAATGAAGTAGAAAAACCTGTTTCAATCACTGAAAGATTCTTATAGTCCACTGAATATTTCATTCATTCAGCATATATTCCATTTCATAACTATGGTGGCTAGAATTTGCTAGGCAATGTTGTGAATACCAAAGAATTACAAATTCGTGTACGTTCTTCTTTCATATAACTAAATTGATTTCCTGGGTCCTTATGTATTCAATTACCTTGAAATCTAAAACTTGTATAAAGGATTTTCTCCCTTTGGGACATTGTAATAAAGGAATCAAATTCAAAACTTTGAAAATAAACTATAAAACATTCAAAGCTTTCTTCTTATTCAATACTGAGTTCAAATCCAGGACTTTACCTATCTCAGACACATGCTCTCAACACTGAGCTATATCTTTATTCTCTTCTCCAGTACAAAGGCAAAAACATTAGCCATAAGCTATATATTAAATACTCTTTGGGGATGACAGACAGTGGCAGTAACCACAGCTACCAGGCAGCCATAGGATCACAAGAGTAAACAACTGCAACACTAAATTGTGCTATTTGATAGGTTAGGTTATACACGCATTTCAACTCCTGATACTTTAATTTATGATGGCTTTATTAGGAAATGACCTTATTTTAAGCCCAAGAACATCTGAACCACCTTAGTTCCTACATATTGCATTTATATGTAGCTAAGAACAACATGGCTTACCTATGACAAAGTTGCCTATCTTTAACATTAGCCTATCCATACTAAACAAAAGAGAGGTTAGGTGTACGTATATAATCTGATCTGGCACACACTAATAGAAAATATATTGCCACAGAATATCTCTGATTAATTTCAATCCTTATCTCCATCTTTCCTAGAACCCTCAATTCTGAAATATAAACGGACATTTAGATTGTCTACTAGATAGCAGTTACCCAAGGAAGTTGACAATAGAAAAAAATATTTTCTAGAATTATAATTTTTATTGTAAAGAAAATATATTGTACAAACAAAGCAAATAACAAATAAAATAAAGTACCTTAAATCTGTATCCAGTAAATTCTTCCAAATTCTTTTTACCTTATAATTAGTTATGACTCAGAACATAGCAATAGGAAAGGAGATAAGTAGAGGAGGAGAGAGGAAAAACTTAAACCTTTGGAAATACATATTCTACCAATAAAACAACATAAATGACATTTATAAGGCATGCCCAAACTATTTTCATAAGCATACTAAGATGTTATGTGACTTATTCACCTTGCTATCTCATGGGTTGAATATGTATTTAATAGCTGACTTCTATTATAAAACTTAAATGAAAAGTCATTATGCTCTATTTTAGTGGTTGTTAGTCATACTAACTGACCACAAATTAATTTTAATATGTCAATGTTCTAAGAATTTAAATACAGGTATGGAATCACAATGATGTGCATATAGATGTTAAAGTAAAGGAGAAGAGACCCAACCTTGCAAGTAAGCTTAGGTCAAGTATCTGTTTACTACCACTATTATACAGCACACAGTTTAGAGTATACATCATTTCCTCAAATGTGCAAATTCAATGATAAAATGAGATTCTTTTTCTAATTAGCTACATCTTATTAGATCACCCATGTCATAATTCTACCCAGTCTTCAGGATCTAACTCAAATCTCATTTTTCCCCACCCACATTAACTTGACAAATATATTCATAAGTTCTCCTGCCTGATTCTTTGATGTATGGATGGTGCCTCTGTTATGAGTCAACTTTTATTAGAGTTGAGAAAGGTTGTACTGAAAGACCCAAGAAAAGCCTCCTTTTCCCTGAAGCCCAGTTAAATAGTTCCTTTGGTTTGAAAGCATCCCGGTTTCTTCCTAACCTACTCTAGTTCTCCCATCCTTCTTCTCTGGTTAAGAAAGATGAGAAAATGTAGAGAACACGAAGTACAATTTTCATCTTTTTTCGCAGAATATAATATAGAATCTAGGTCAGAGTTCTCACAACCAAAAATCTCTTCCCATTAAGGAATGTTTGTGGGGGTGGGGGTTAGGGCACTGATTTCAGTTAAGAACCACAGATGTATAGACATCATGGTAGAAACTAAAAGTTTATTGCCTTGGTGTCAGGATCTGTCAGATGATCCGCTCCACTTTAATTCTTCAATATCACCTAGCAATAGAAAAATTTCAACAATTCTATTTAAATAAATATGTGGTTTAATTAAATTGCAAATAATATTTAGGTACTAAGACTAAATTACTTACAATACTAAATTCTTCCTTCTGAGACATTAAAATACAGTTTATAAGACTGATATAAAATCAAATGAATATATAATTATGTATATTACACTTAGTTGTTATAGCATATTAAAATTAATCACATATTGCATATTATAATATAGTTTACCACCATATAAACTTTTAAAATATTTGTTCAGATAGTGAACAAGGCTAATATCTAAAGGATCACAGTTTGAGTCCAGACTAAGCAGAAAAGTTCACTAAATTCTATCTCCAAAACAACTAACATAAAGAAGTTCTGAAGATTAGCTCAAGTGGTAGAGCACCATCTTGAAAGTAGGAGGCCATGGGTTCAACTCTAGAACCCCTCCCCCCCAAAAATGGGTCCTTTAAAATAAAAAAGTACTTGTAAATTTTTCAAATGTCACTTACACAGGATTATATGGCAATTTCCTCCATTTTATAGCTAAAGTATTAATTTTATATTTAAAAGTTCTGACATATTCCTAGCAAAACTTACTCTTACCCATTAAATATCTCTATTACAGAATACAATTTATATCTTTTTAACTGTTGGTTCATTATACAGATACTTGACATTTGAAATTTCTTCACATCTTTTAAGGTTTTGTGTGTGTGTGTGTGTGTGTGTGTGTTGTGTGTGTGTGTGTGTTGTGTGTGTGTGTGTTGTGTGTGTGTGTGGTGTGTGTGTGTTGTGTGTGTGTGTGTGTTATGTGTGTGTGTGTGTGTGTGTTGTGTGTTGTGTGTTGTATTCAGGCGCCAGTGACTCAAGCCTATAATGCTAGCTAATCAGGAGCTGAGATCTGTGGGTAGCGGTTGGAGCCAGCCCAGGCAGAAAAGTCCTTGTGAAGCTTTTTTTTTTTTTAAATCTCCAATTAACTACTCAAAAGCTGGAAGTGGCATTGTGGCTCAAAGTGGTAGAATGCAAGCTTTGAGCAAAAAAGCTCAAGGACAGCACCCAGGCCTGGAGTTCAAGACCCACCACAAATAAATAAATAAATAAATGTAGTTAATGAAAAGGCTGTATAATTTAACTGCTCTTTCAAGTTGTACTTTTGTAATTCAAGGAAGTGCACAAATAAAGTTACATATCTTGAAAACAAATGACACTTACAATGTCTTTCACTTCTATGAAGATTTCCTAAATTTTCTGTCACAGCTTCAATACATATAATTTAGTATTGCTACTTTTATATCTTACAGATATTTGAAAAAATAGTTATCTTTTGTAATTTCCTTGATAACTTTCTTGACCTAATATTTCTATTAGCTTTAAAACATATAAAGACCAACAGTCCCCTAGAAACTGGAAACATTACAAAGACAAAACAGGAATAGTTTTAAATGTTTACTCTCAGGAGATATTCTGTAGTTTCTACTTTTGTCACATAAAGTTATAAAGTATAAACCACAGAACTTCTTTACTTCTTATTAATGTGTGTTTGTTTGTTTTTTCTTTTGTAGAAAATAAAAGAAGCCTAGGAAGGAAAATTTTGCATTGTACACTAAGAGGAACTGGAAGAAATTCGACAATAAACTGAGGTACCTGGAATCAATATGGCCGAGTACTGTTCAACACTAAAGATTTGAAAGAATTGGGAGAAACTGGAAGGATTTGAAGACTTTTGACATTTGAATGGTCTCTGTTATGTTTTGGATATGAAATTTCTCCCCCAAATGGCATAGGTGTTAAAGGCTGCGATAGATGATAGAGATACTAAACTCATCAATGGATCAATCCACTGAGGAACTCCAAGATGACTGGAGTATTAAGAAATGAGACCAGGAAGGAAGGAAGGAAGTCACTTGGGTATATTTTTAAAGGCTATATCTTTGTCCCTAACCATCCTCCTGCCTCACCCCAGACACAGTGTCTGTGGTGAAGAGCCACATGGACTGAAACCTTCAGAACAAGGACCCACAATAAATGCTGCCTTCTTCACTTTATTCTGCTCAGAATTTTAGCATGATACTGAAAAACTGACTAATGCCATCTTCTCTAACCACAGTGCTCTTTTAAATTTAAATATTACTTAATAAAACTATTTATTTTCCTAAGAAAAAATGAAACTATTTTTCCAGTAATTATCCTTCTTACCTTCTGTCCACTCTACTCAAATGTTTCCCAGCATTGTATTTTCAAAGTAGGATGTTTGATCAACTTTATCCAATTTTCCAAAATTGTCAATTAACTCATAATATCTAACTCAGGAAAAGAAAATGTGTATGAATTTCAGAATTCATGAGAATATAGTTCAATTCAATTCCTAATGTATCTTAAATATTTCAAAACTTCCCACTATGACACACTCCCTCCTCAAGGTTCTCCCAAGCCTGCTCTATTAAGGACACTACTTTAATTTCAATATGTTTTATCGTTGGCTATTAAAATTCAGAAACAAAGCCCGGCACTGGTGGCTCACGCCTGTAATCCTAATCAGGAGGCTGACATCTGAGGATTGTGGTTCAAAGCAGCCAAGGAGGAAAGTCCATGGGACGCTTATCCCCAATTAACCACCAGAAAACTGGACATGGCACTGTTGCTCACAATGGTAGAGCACTAGCCGTGAGCAAAATAGTTTAGGAACAGAGCCCAGGCCCTGAGATCAAGCCCCACAACTGACCAATAAATAAATAAAAATCAGAAGCAAGATGGCTCAGTAGTAGAGTGCTTGCCTTACATGCATGAGGTCCTAGGTTCGATTCCTCAGTACCACATAGCAGAAAAAGGCATAAATGGCACTGTGGCTCAAGTGGGAGAGTGCTAGCTTGAGTGGAAGACCTGAGGGACAGCGCTCAGGCCCAGAATTCAGGCCTCATGACTGACAAAAAAAAATCAGAAACATAGGAACTAGAAGAGGGGTTCAAATGTTAGAGGACCAGCCATAAAAGCAAGGCAAGACCATGAAGCTCTTATTTCAACTCTTATTTCTCTATATCAAGCTCTTATTTCTCTTTCTTTTTTTCCTTTCTTCCTTTCTTTCTCTTTCTTTCTTTCTTTCTTCTTCTCTCTCTCTCTCACACACATACACAGAATCAGAAATATATGTTTATATATGAAAAGATCTTGTGCTTTTGAGGATAGTAATTAAGAAATTCTAAATTTAGGTAATGGAATGTTAGCAATAAATATTCAAAACATGGATAAAATCTTTACATCATTAAGGTCTAAAAGTAACAAAAGGACTTGTGTGGATTAGACATCTTTTTCCATCTCAAAAGATAGCACACTTTCAATTCCCATGCCACTGGGAGTAAAGCTGTTCACAGCTCCTATATACATTGAACAACAAAATAGAGGAAAAGAGAATTTCTGGATCTCTGAGTCCAGGATTTAGATGTTACTCCCTGTTGCTGAGTACACTTTGTACATTAGGGATCACTCTTAGTTCCTTAATATCAAATCTCACATGGTTGGTAAAAGACAGATAGTAGCACTTACACAGTAAAACCATTACAAGAAGCATATTCTGCAGCCGTGAAACCATAAATATCTTGGCAAGATAGATCCACACCTTGCTGAAGAAGAAGACTTACTAAATTTGTTGGTTCAAAACTGAGAGCAATCATAAGGGCTGTTCTGCAGCAAGAAATAAACAAATTTAGTCTTCTCAATATACCATTGAACTGTAGGATTGCAATTAGAAAGAGTCAATGCATGAAAATAAAAACAGTGAGTCCAATTTGTTAAAACTTATATGCAAACGGAGTAAGGAAGAATGATATGGAAGAGGAGTGGATTAAAATACATTGTAATTATGCATGGATATGTCACATCTCCGCTTGTGTAGCTAATGTATACTAATAAAAACATCTACTAATAAAAACATCTACCAGCCGGGCACCAGTGGCTCAAGCCTGTAATCTTGCTACTCAGGAGGCTGAGATCTGAGGATTACGGTTCAAAGCCAGCCCGGGCAGGAAAGTCTGTGAAACTCATCTCCAATAAACCATCAGAAAACCAGAATTGACGCTGTAGCCCAAGTGGCAGAGCACTACCCTTGAGATGAAGAGCTGAGGGACAGTGCTCAGGCACAGAGTTCAAAAAAAAAAAAAAAGAGAGAGAGAGAGAAAACATACACCAATCACAAATCATGTAACAGAGACTAAAGAGAGTAACTGGGAAGCAGATAGCTCAATGGTTTAAGTTTCTACTCTCAGGTGGCTATTGTTTCAAGCAATATCTGGAACTCTAGGTCCCCTACACCAATTAACTAGAGTATTTGATTTTACTTATATAATTCGAGTGTTAATATTAACAATAATAAAAACTACATTGAACAATATTGTCCAAATGTTTGGTTTTGCTGATAGAAAAATAAATTCTGAGAGTTTAGATTATTTACTGAAATTATCATATTATATTGTTCAGAGAGAGACATAGATATAGATATCTGTCAAATAGATATAGAGATATAGAGATGATAGATGACAGCTGGATGAAAGACAGATGGAGAGAGATGCATATATATGTGTGTAACTGTACTTATATGTCATCTTATTTAGTTTTACTAATTATACCTTTGATTATTATCAGAAGCATTCACATCTGCCCCTTTCTTCAAAAGAAATTTTACCATTTTTGCATTATTTTTAACAACGGCAAGTAGAAGTGGAGTATATCCATCCTGTAAATATTATTTCAAAATGATTATTTAAAACATTGTTTGAAAGTTACCTGCCTTTTAAAGTTTTGATATAAAACAAAACTTCAAAAACCAAGAAAACACATTAGTGATGGGCCAGCTACACCTCAAAATTTCTATTTTAGCCTTAATTCAAATTGTAGGCAAGAGTAACTTGGAGTTAAGTGAATGAGCATTGTACACTACCAAGTCACAATTTCACAGTTACTTTTTTTTGCTTTTTTGGTACTGAGGATTGAACCCAGGACACTGCACATGCTAGGGAAGCACCTTGCCACTGAGCTACATCCCAGCCTTTCACAATGTTATAAATGGCTTTCTATTAAATTCTCTTTAAAACTTCAAGACAGACACATGTCAGAAGCTACCTTGTACCTTAAACAATACGTAAATAAAAATAAGATACTTTTATTTAAAAGTCCTCAACTATCCATAATATCTCAAAAGAGAATTAGAATTCCTTTCAGTAACTTCCAAATTCAGTCATATTAGTTACTCATAACTATTTAAATAGAAAAGGTCAATACCTAAGACTTCTTATGTGTGCTAGAGCTGCAGCTTGAACTCAGGGACCTCTTACTTTTGTTTCGCTTTTTAACTAAAGATAGGTACTCTATCACTTGACATAAACCTTTAGTTCAGGTTTATTGTTGTTTAATTGGAGATAATAGTCACTCAGGCAAAGTGCTGATGGCACAAGCCTCTAATTCTAGCTAATCAATAGCCTAAGACTTGAGAATCACCTGGTTCAGTGTCATGCAAGGCAGGAGAGTCCATGAAACTCATCTCCAAATTACTGCTAAAATGCCAGAAGTGGAGCTGTGGCTCAAGTAGGCTGTGGCTCAAGTAAGCTGTGGACCAAAGCCTTGAGGTTAAAAGCTAAGTGCCGAGGCGCTTGTTGTGCACACACACACACACACACACACACACACACACACACACACATCTCTGATTTGTCTGCTAATGCTGGATTTGAACCAAAGATCCTCAGATTTGCTTCCTGAGTTTCTAGGGTTACAGGTGTAAGTCAATATCACTCAGTTTAGACAATTTTTATCAACATAATAGGACTTCAATTGTTTCTCATTCAATATAGTGCTTTGAGCAATTCTCAGTTAATTACATTATTTTAGAGGTCAGGATTACAATGTGCAATGAAAAAGGAGAGAGGCTGTAAATGAAAGAAATTTTTAAATCAGTTTTTGATAATCTGTTCTCAATCTCAATTTGGAAAATTCTTTCTCAGCAAAACATGCATTTCTGTTATATGAACTGTCTTCAAGAATTATCATCTTGGGCTGGGAAAGTGGCTCAGTGGTAGAGCGCTTGCCTTGCATGCATGAGGCCCTGGGTTCGATTCCTCAGCACCACATAAGCAAAAAGAAAAAAACCGGAGGTGACGGTGTGGCTCAAGTGGTAGAGTGCTAACCTTGAGCTGAAGAGCTGAGGGACAGCGCCCAAGTCCAGAGTTCAGGCCCCACGAAGGACCCAAAAAAAAAAAAAAAGAATTATCATCTTTAGTTGCTTTGAAAATGCTTTTAATATAAAACTACCTTATTTTTAGCTTCAAGATTAGCTTTGTGTTCAAGCAGTTTTCTGACTATTGAAACACTTTGTCCACAAACAGCATAATGAAGAGCAGTATTGTAATGAAAATCTACCAGATTTGGGTCTGCACCATGGTCTAGGAGAATAGTAACACACTTTTCCTTTTGATACTGTATTGCCTGTCAATGCAACAAGAATAGATGAGTTACATTTCATAATTAATGATATGTTACATTAACTTTAATACTATGTTCTAAAGCATGAAAGTCAATGAAAGTTAACTAGAAGAGCTCAAACATACTCCAATTGAAAAGAAAAAAGAAAACATACCTTAATCAATGGGGATCTTTTTTCACCATCCAGGACATTTATTTTGCATTGTTTCTCAATTAAGAGAGATACGATACTTTCATATCCATTAGCACAGGCCAGATGCAAAGGTGTTCTATATCAATGTAACAGAATATAAGCTTAGAGATAGTCACACTGGAGAAGTTGCTGACACTCCAAAACAAGCCAAACTGATATTTGCTTCATATGCTTATTTATATGTACAAAAATATTATATAAGTAACATTGCTTTTGGATGAATTTAAAAGACTATGCAAATGCCTAAAAGATCAAATATTTAACTTATCTCAATTCAAAAAAATTAAAGCTATCATAAATTTAAGATAGTTGACTTTTTCTTCGAACACCAAAATGGTATATGGACTTTGGATGTCGTAATGAAATATCAAAATAAACTCAGAATTTCTCCCTATAGTTGTTAAACGTATTTAGAGTGTGCATTTGTTGAGTAAGCAACTTATATTAAGAAATGGACAACACAGAAGAGGGGAAACCATCTTCTCCCCAGTAAATTTGTCACATTAGATAAGTTAACAAGTTCCCTTCCTTTTTTTAGACAGATGTTAACAGTTTTGGTGTTTCCAAATCTTAATGATTTCTGCCTTAAGTGGTTGTTTCTATTCTCTTTCTATTTTTCCACTAGTAAAATAGTAAATGTTAGGTGTCTGGAGACAATCTGTATCAAGAAGCAGAACAGTAAAATGGTGAAAGGGCTGATTGCCCAATGGAGATTAAAGCAGTTGGTGTTTGGGGTGGAATTGGGGAGGACAAAAACACCTTCAAACACACACACAGAGGCATTCACAAAAACCTAAGATAAAGGTCGGCAATCGGACCCTCTGCTAAGTGACAATGTCTCTTGTGAAGATACTCAGAGTGGCACTAGTGTTAAACAGCCCAGGCACGTCTTGCTTCCGTTTAGTGTGCCAGTGGTCCCAGCTCTACAATTCCTTTCCCCGACTGGTGTCTTAGGTTTGCTCACCTATGTCCTTTGTCCCGCTTGTCCACATCATGTTTCTTGTACTTGAGGTATTCCTTCAACTTCTCCAAGTCCCCGACTGAAGCAGCCTTGTGAAGTTTCTTTGAATGCTTATGTTGGAAGTTGTAACTCTCATCAGTGGACAGATCTGAGTAGGTGCTGCCCAAGGATAAGGACAGGTCTGAGGAGCGGCTCAGGGATTCATCCTTCATTCTCCATAGGCTGAGAAGCTTCTTCATTATGGTCCAGCAGGATTTCCCTGGGGCTTCTGCCCCGCTTCACCTGGCTCACAGCCTCCTCCAGCCCCCACCAAAAGTGGAGAAGCTGGAAGACACCAAGCTTTGGAGGCCCCAGCCAGGGCCGCTCGGCTTGTTGCCTAGTAACTCCCAGAACCTCCATTGTTGTGGTTATGACCGGCCCAACGAGCTCAGAGACCTGGATCCGGTTGGCCTTACTGCATCATCAGCCTATTATTTCAGAAGCCATTGAAGAGAAATCTGCTACCCTACAAACAGCAGGTTCTGCTTCAAAGGTAAAATGCAAGTCTTGAATAAAACAGATTTATCTTCTTCCAGGTAGAGATGGATCTCCCATTGATCTTGTTGCCCACCTGCTCCCAGCCTCTCACTTCTTTGGTCACAAGCTACCCTTGGTCCTTAACCAAAACTACAATCCCTGGATAATATCAATTTCAAACATACCTGTTGAACACTAACGCTCAAATTCCACCTCTATCTAATCACAAAATTCCAAAAGGCCTTAAAAAATCAAACCCAATGTTTGATGATCCATTAATTCTATCTCTTCCTTAAATCCCAATTTTTTTTAAATCACCTCTGTCCATCTGTCATAGTAAGCATGCTCCCATCTTTTGTCTACTCCACAGTGTTAGTAATATCCAAAATATTTTATCTTCCCTGAAATGCTGATCAAACAACAGGAAAAGATATAGCCACAATTTCTGTAATTACATCAACGGAATTTGGCAATTTAAGTATTTCCTTGACCCATTTCCATTTCCTATTTTCATTTCCCCTCTCTAAGACTAATGAACTTGCTGATTCATTAAAAATAAGTGAGAAATTCTAGACCTCAGAAACATTTACACACATACTGATATGTACATGCATATATACACATATACACATGTATATATATATATATATATAATATATGTACATGTGTGGGAAACCCTATTTTCATATATATGTCCGTATGTGCACATGTATGTACATACATGTATGTACATATGGACTTATACACTGTGTATTCCCTATTATTTATAGCCAGCCCCAAAATATTGCTTCAGCACAATGTTCTACTTCTCTCTTGTTTATCTTGTTTCCCTCTCTATGACTTGATTTTTTAACTGTTCACTGTACAAGAAAGGTTTCACTGTGATCTTTCCCTACATGAATATAATGCATCACAGCCAACCTCAACCCTTCCATCACTCTCCCCTATCCCACTCTTGGTCTCTCAAAGCCACCCTAACAAGTTGCATTGTTCCATTTTCACCTTCCCCACCAGCCTTCCTCCCTTCTCTTTGGCACCTATTCTGCTGAATAATTTTTATCTGCATAAATACATGTTAGAATACCTCTCATTTCACACACAAAGAAAAACAAAATGGAACAAATATCACCCTGCAACCTTAACTCAATTTCCCCTTTTATACAAACTTTTCTGTTCTCAAATAATTCCTGAGTTTGCTACCCTCTCATTTAGTTCAACTTTCAAGCAAGACTATACATATCTTGCTTCACATGATTGAGTTTTTTTAGTTTTTCTGACTAATAAGGTAGCATTTAACATAGGTGTGATGAATGGAGGTGAATATGGTCATAAAACTCAATATACATACATACTAAGAAACTAGAAGGGGACACACAGGTTGAAATAGATGGGAGAAGGGGAAAATAATGGAAGAATGACACTGATCAAGATGCATTATAAACCTAAACTGACATGTTGTATTGAAATGCCTTTGAACAACTATTTAATAATTTTTTTAATTAAGTGAAGTAAGCCAGACTCAAAGAAATACAGGTCCTGTGATTTCCCTTATTTGCAGTGATTAGTATATATCTAGGATAATCTTATCAGATTAGGATAATCTTGTTCATGTAACTGTAATCCCTCTGTACAGTATTTTCACAAAAACTTATTTAAAAAAAAGATGATGCTAAGTGAAATGAATCCCACAGGTTTTTCTTTGTTGTTTTTAATGTACAATGTGATTTTTTCTCTTTTGTATGTTCTTCCTCCTATGGTATATCCCTTGTTTTCACTGTATTTGATTTTGGTGCCCTGCATCTAGTATATACATTTATCTAATTTGGGGATGGGAAGAATAACAAAATGTTGAACACAGATACAGGATGACCCATATTGCAGTAATGATACAGAATTTTAAAACTTCGGGGGGGGGGGGGGGGGGGGAATTGGGGAAGGAAGGGATGGTAGGAGAAAAACAAAGGAGGGGGGTAACAATGTTGGGTAGGAAATGTACTCAATACTCATGTAACCTCTCTGTACAGCATTGTTACAATAAAAATAAAATTTAAGATGAATCTCAAAGAGGAATAAAACATAGTACGTATAGAGTTTAGTAACATCTAACTTTAGGAATACACTGGAATCTTTGGAATAGATGCATGGCAAATAAGGTGGAATTATTCTATGTTGCTATTTTTATTACTAAGGCCTGCCTCCAATTCTTTTTTAACCTGAAGCCAAAGATAGCTAAGATATATTTAATGCTGTATTCCCTTGCATGCCATGTAACAAGCATCTTTCCATTTTCCACCCAATATGTAAGGGCAAATGTTGAAAAATGAAACTCCTGGACTTTGGGCTTAATACAAATATATTCAAAATCAAAGCCACTTCACAGACGCAATGGAGGCCTGATTGGTTCTTCACTTGAGGAAATTCTGCCTCTTGAGAGCTAGTGAGAAGCCCGATTTACTCTACACTACTGATTCAGTTATTACACAATAACTACACAAAGTGAATATAGTGCTCCTGAGTACTCAGAACCACCTCTGTGGCTATTGTACTTCTTTGTTTACAATGACTCAACATGTTTAGATTTTGGCAGCCAGAAAGATGTGTACCTTGAAAGCTTTAATATGGATAGGCTCATATAAGCCATTGATTAAGCTCTCATTACCTATCTGTTGGCATTTACAGATCATTGCTTTGTATAAGGCAGATCATTAGTTCTCCAATCTATAATTTGGAGGCTGATGTCAAACTGAAATAACATCTTTTGTTAAGCACTTATCTCATCATTTTCCCTGTACCACAGATATATCTACACTGACAGTAATGTGGGTATTATTATAATTAAAATTGCTACACAAACCTATTTACCAATTAGTCCAGCAGTGTTGATCTTGTCGTCTTGGTGTCTCCCTTAAGGGCATCGATCATCTAATGGATACCTTTATTTTATCAGTGTTCATTTTTGGAAAGTAGCCTTATCCTAAGGCAGAGTTTCTTGACTACAAAGATGAACACTAACAGTTCAGGTAGAAACCATATATATATTGAAAGTGTGAAAGTACAAAAAATTGCTGACAGGTTTATCTGAAATATGATCAAGCTGTCACATCACTTTGCCACAAAGGAAGGACATTTTCATTTCCAATAAACTTCCAAATCTTTCAGAATTCTGTTAGCTCTCACCCTCTTCCCCCAAATCAAGGAAATTAACCTGGGAATGCTCTTTTAAGTATTTTATAGATTATAATAAACACACTGGAGCCTAAGACCAATGTTTAACAAATTAGTATGCTCCTATAGTCTAAGCGCTCCTTAAACTTCACAACACATTAAGCAAGCTACTTCAAAGGAGCAATCAAGACATGGCAAGTAATATGCTAGCACTAGAAGGCACATCAATTTACAAAGCCTGTACCTTCCAGTTGCCTAAAATTAACCACTTAATAAAAGTTGTTCCTATGTCTGAATTCAAGACTCTGGTCCTGTCCTACATAATAATATTAAGTATGCTCATCAGGTTGAGAGATCTATTTTTTTGATATAAAGTAACTTTTAAAACGAATGAAAATTTACATTTCCCTGATATGAGGCAATTAAGTTAAACATGTATCCTGTGCATATTTCCAGATATAAAACAGAAACATTATTTCCTTGCCTGTTCCTACATACTCACACCCACACAAGTTTTTAACTGACACATGAGACCATATCCCCCACATTCCAAATCCCACTCCTGGATTAGTCTTTTAATATATCTCAAACAAAGTAACAATTGGTAACTTTGCATTACATAGTATTTATAAAGCCAGTGCAGAGATAACTAAAATCAAACTGTTTACAGTATAACTGAGTACTGCCCTAATAAGAACAGGGAAGCCATGTTATAAAGCTGACATAACACAGAATAGAATGGGACTTTGGGGCTAGTTACAGCAATACTTGTTCAGTATTACTTTTGGCAAGTAATACTCTGTAAAATAATTAATACATAAAAAAGAAGAAAAATGGAAAAAAGACAAAACTTACAAATTTCTTTCATGCTACATCTTCTAATCTTTGACAGGTATCTTAAATCCAGTTGTTTCTCCATCTCACAAATGATACACGTGGGCAACAAATGGAATACCACTAATGATGTAAAATTTCACTAGCTATATTTAGCATTCATCCTTAACAGTATAAAACCTACAACTTAGTAACTTTAGATAACAGAAAAAAATGATTAATACGAGTTATATCTAAAATGTACTTTCCATTGACAGGTAAAGTATAATGTGATTGAATAAATACCCTACTGATTACTTCTTATAAGTCACTCTGCTAGATTTCAATTTCTCCCCATACAAAATGACCAATGTTATATGATTCTGCCATAATGACTGGCAAATGATATGTACCCAATAAATACAAAATGCTAATTATTTTGAAGTTGAGTATTTATGATAGTGCCAGTTAATATTTGCTTTAGAATAGGTTTTAGGCAGATTTGCACACTATTATATGTAACTGCTTACTTTCTGACTGATTATGGTGAATCTTTTTGGGCATTATTCTTTATTTGCACTATCTTAATTAGCTTAAAAGTTCAAGATGATTTTATATTACACAGGATGTTTAATATTAAACATTTTATTGTTGACATCAAGCATGAGGCCATTTAAATTATCAAATACTTTAACCTCAAAACAATATAATTTTAAGCCATTATTTTAAATAGACTCTTTTCAGTTAAAAAGCTTACTCTTTTTTAAAGTTAATGTCCTTTTTAAGTTTAATATAACTACCTTACCAAAAACTATTTTCAATTTATTTATGAAGCTGGTTTTAGGATGTACTTTGTATCTGAGTCACAAACAACAACAGTAATAAGACTGATTTGAGCCTCTTCAATTAGTTTAACTAAAGAATATTTTTAAAAATTGATATTGTAATTGTATTTCCACTGATGGTATGGTTTCCTTACAGTTCTCATACAAAAAGAAATTCAACTTGAATTGTGAGCATAAAACGCTTGCCAGATACATGTAGAAATAAAAACTTAGCTATATTTTCTGGTATATTTTCATTCACTTCTTCCATAAATCATAAAAACACATGGATTGAGGTTTTTTTTTTCCATCATGTACCACAAAACATTTTCTAAAGGATTTTTAAAGAGGACACAGGAAGAGTACTATGGTTTATGTTTACGTAGGTGTAATTTGTGTTGGCATATCAAGAAATTTGAGAAAAGATCTAATCTGGACTTTACTACTTGTACAATTAACATTTTCTTAACAAGGAAATGGCACTGTAGCTCAAGTGGTAGAGTGCTAGCCTTGAGCTGAGGAGCTGAAGGACAGCGCTTAGGCCCAGAGTTCAAGCCCCACAACCGACAAAAAAAAAAATTCTTAACAAGAAAATGTTTTACTATTCTTATTAGTTTGAGTATTTGACTCTTTAAACTTGAATGCTTTAACTAGTCATTTTCATTTTGTTATTCATTCTAAAACCTTGCATTAGAAAAGTGAAGTCCATATGAAATACAAATAGCAATACTAATGTCTCTCTAATCCTCCCAGAGACTGATAAATCAAGTTACTCTATGATAATGGTGCTTAGTGGCCAATAAAAAAAAAATCACCAACGTCTCTCTATACTAGGCTTGCTTCCATTTTATTTTTAACCTCAACTATAACAACTAAATTTTATTTTAAAAAACTGTGAAAAAAATCTCACTTGTAAATGTTCTGAAAGAAATGCACTCCAAAAGCTCTTACGAATTTATAGAAACTGGTCATCATCTCTTCTTTTTGAACTTCTATTGCTTAGGCAAGAGTAAAGAACTGTGACCTTCAGACCAAATCCAGGCTGTCTGCTTTTGTACATGAGTTTTATTTGAAGACATCCACAATTTATATTATCTATGGCTGCTACTGTGTTACTATAGCACAGTTAACCATGATGGAGGCGATATGGCCCTGAAAGCCTCAAATTTTTACTGTAGAAAGCTTTATGGAAAGTTTGTCAATCCCCCTTTTTTTAAGCATGCAATTAAAAAAACATTAAAGGGATGTAAATATTTTTCTATTCCTTTATCACAAAGATACACATTTCTGACTACATATAAAATGAATTAAGAGCTTTTATGGACTAATTACAAAAAATACTATTTACAATATTGTTTCTATATATTTTTAAAAACAGAGTTTGTTTCTGAAATCGGATTTACAGAACCAGTGAGTCACAGGTGGTTATTTGCAACAGCAAGCACTGCTCCAAAGTAAAGGTTTACTTACCCACACTTGCTAGCACTCTACCACTTGAGCTACAGCGCCACTTCCAGTTTTCTGGTGGTTTGCTGGAGATGAGTTTCACAGACTTTCCTGCCCAGGCTGGCTTTGAACTGCTATGCTAAGATCTCAGCCTTGAGTAGCTAGGATTACAGGCGTGAGCCACAGGCACCCAGCACATTCCCAATTTTTAAAAGTGAAAGCCACAAAGGTTTTTAAGATTACACGGAAGCATTTCATACACTGAATTTTACAGAATTCAGTATTAATGTGTTCATTATATTTTTCTATCTAGCTTACTAGGTATAAAGATTTGACCAAACTTATCTTTTCTATATGCCTAATATTCAAGTCCAAACTTTAGGCCCAATTTATTAAAACTTAGTTTTCCCTTTATTTCACCAACATACTTTTGTCTACACTTCTAGGTGCCAGGAACTACTTTTAAATGTTGACAAGCTACCATTAGTGCAGTAGAACAAATATCTGTGACTCATATACTTGCAGAAGGCAGGATGTTTTCTGGTGACTTTCTCAAATATCAGAGAAACATAAGTATCTTGCAGTAATGGTATCACTTACACAAAAAGTCCTCTTTTGGATATAGTATCACAAAATGTTAATTTTAAGTTTGCACAATGACTATTAGATTTTCACATTATTTAATAGAAAAATAAAACCAAGCCACTACACTTAATTTAGGCCAACAAAGATTTTCCAATAAAAATGTAGAAATATTTTAATTTACACCTGATAGCTAATCAATATGAAGTCAGAGTCCACAATTACACATACATAAAAATTATGAAAATCATCTTTAGAGTAACTAGTTTCTGTACAAGAGATTTACAGATGTCTAACATGTAGTTTTTCCTCAGTGTGCTACAGAGTTTAGAGGTTCTGCTCGAATATTCCCCAAGTCAAGTGCAGAATCTGTCTCTTCATCAATTTCTCCAATGACTGCCCTGTAATTTATGAAAAAAGTCCAATTAAAACAAAAATTTTAAATAAATGTACATGCATACTTCAAATCTTATCAAATTATAGAAATTATTCATACTTCCTAAACATGTAGAATTGAGAGAGCACAGAAAAGAAATATAGAATAAAACAATTTATATTTACACTAATTTTGTTTTGCATTTACTAATATCATCCATAGGCTAACAAGACTTCAATGAAAATTCTCAGAAATACAATAATCAGGAGCTCTAGCATACCATTAGGTCAAGGGCAAAGTTTTAAATTGTTTAAATAGAGAAACTCTCATAATCTATTACACACAATCCCAATATAAACTGGATGGTTTACATTATTCAGGGGATCTGAGCCTAATCTTAAGTACATCAATCACACATTATCTTAAGCGTTATTTATTAACAAATTGTGAATGAGCTATTTAAAATTGCTCAACCAGGAAATTCCAAAGATATATTGCAAACTCTAGCACTGAACCTTAGATGTTCCACTGAAATTGAGGCAGTCTCAAAGAATATTGTCATAAGTCACTCCAATGAAGTACATGGTGCTCACCAGTGTTCTACTTAAGACTTTATCCAGGCAGTTTCTACCACAAATAGGAACAAATCTTATTAGGCAAAAGTTTCATCTGTAGCAATACCTTAGGTTAACTCCTGAAAAATCTTATTGTAAAATGTATATATTTATAGCTGGGCACCAGTGGTCACACTTATAATCCTAGCTACTCAAGAGAGTAAGATTTGTGGACTGAGGTTCACAGGCAGCCCAGGATGTTAAATCCATGTCTCTTGTCTTCAATTAACCAGCAAAAGCCTGGAAGTGGAGGTATGGTTCAAGTTGCAGAGCCTCAGCCTTGACTGAGTAAGATATATGAACTAGAAGCCCAGAGTTCAAGCCCCAGCATCAGCACACAAGTGAACATGAACATCACACACATACATATATATACACACACACACACACACAAATATACTGATTTGCATTACTTCGAGCCAATAGTTAGATTATAAAACAAAGGAATGTATTCATTCTATTATCTATGTATGGATAATATGGTATGATATTTGTGAGAAAAATCTCTTTATCTCCATAAAGCAAGGAAGTACACTGTAACCTTACTTTCACTTACACATTGTCACCTCTGACGATGTATAATCCTAACACCACCTGTTCTACTCCCTGTGAAGAGCTGAATACTCGTTCATGGCTTTCATCCAAAATCAGATTAATGGTCTGGTCAAAGCCCTTTAATGTTCCCTGAAAAGAAAGTATTCAGGAGAAAGGCAAATATTCTTATTTACTTATACATGTAAATCCACTCATAACCATTTTAGCTATTAGTTAACTACCTACCTTAAATGTAACTTCACTGTCAAATAAAATGACTTTCTAAAATAACCAGTCATATTTCAGGACACAAAATTTATCTCTTGGTTGCTTAAGATAGGAAAAAAATTTCTGTTCTATACACCTCACTAGTATGCAGAACTGTTGAGGAGTTGCAAAGGACACCTACATACCACAATATTTCCAAGTAATATAAAGCTCATGTCACCCAGGACCTATCATTCTAAGAACACAAACTAAAATAAGAGATTCTCAAAAATTATTAATCTCTACCCACTGAGGTAAACTGTAATTATTTCCATTTTGTGGCCCAGAGAACTGAATATTTATTAATAAATATAGGCATCAGATCCTGGATCCTAATATCTCAAAAGAAAACTATCTCTTAGAGCCATAACACTAAATAACTACATTATACTATTGGAAAATAGAGGCGGTAACAATGTTCGACAAGACATATACTCACTACCTTACCTATGTAACTGTAACCCCTCTGTACATCACCTTGAAAATAAAATTTAAAAAAAAACTACAAAAAGGAAAAAACCTGGTGACCTTTTTCAGAGACACAAATTTATCCCATAAGTATAACTAAATATAAGCTTCAAAAGGTAGTGACAGCAATGCAAAATTTCTTGTTGCCAGTATGCTGTCTCTCATTATTATTAATTTATTCCTTTAATCCCATAATGTAGATATAATGACTAATTAAAACTAGAACTTGAGGAAAATAATCAAAGAAACTTGTATGAAAGTAATTTAGTTGTAATAAAGAAAACATGTATCTAATAAAACACAGCAGCTTAAATGATATTCAAGTTGCTGGAGAAATATCCCAGTATAGTACATTGGATTTGGTTGGTTAATCTAGCCAGCTCATTTTTAAACTGTTTCATATTCTGAAAATCAAAATGCACAGAATCAGAATAATATAAAAAGAAACTGCTACCCAGATTTGGGAAATGAGACAAAATATACAGTATTTACTATACAAATTAGCAAACGGTTACAATACTCATATTTTTACATATCTTTTCAAAATAAAAATGTTTGCAAATAAATGCCAACAGCGATGGACATCTTAAAAATTTGAGATGGAGGAAAGGGATCGTAGGGGAAAAACAAAACAAAGGAGGGGTAACAATGCTCAATAGGAAATGGACTCATTACCTTGCTCATGTAACTTACCCCCTCTGTACAGTATCTTTACAATAAAAAATACATATTAAAAATATTTCTAACTGCCTATAGTCGCTAAAATACGAATAGAAGGTACCTAAAAGATATACTTACTTTCTTAGTTACAGAAGAAGACAACTTTGGTTTTGGAATAAAACCTAGTTTAAATCATGATTTTGTTCTGCACTAATATTCACTAACCTAGAATACAGACATAAACTTTCACAAAGTTTTACTGAAGATTAAATAATGTAACACAAGCCTAAATAATACAACACGTCTGGCTTATGATACACATTAGTAAATAACAGAGTACAGCACTTGTATTAGTCAGTACTCACTGAGGACTAAAAGGAAAACAAAGAAACAAAAGCCAAACTTCAGAATGAAAAAAATGAGATTTAATTAGTCATGTAACAAATGTCTTGGTCAGGATAGACAATGAATACAATAGTCCCCACAGGATTCAATTCTGGAGAGATGTCGTAGGTTTCCTAAGTTTCTCTACACACATCCATGCTTGCACAAGTGAAATCACATGATGACTTCCTGCTCAAAGTGAACTTCTTCACCAACATATGACTGTATATACATACAAAAAGTTTCAAAACTTATGACTCATGTGGCAAATGTCAGAGCATTTTAGGGGGCAAGAATAAAAATGGAAGAGGAAAACAAACATACAGATTTTTTCAGACTAGACCAGGAGCTCTCAAACAGGGCAATCTATTATTCTGTCATCCAGAAGCCTTGTATGTATCATACACTCAAGATTTTTGAATGAAGAACCAGCAGAAATGAGTGGAATCAAATTAAATGAGTGGAATAAAACTAAAAGTTTATAGTGGCATGTAGGTATTAGACATCAAGAAAGAATAAAAAGGCCAAGGACTTACCACAATCATTCTCCCATCAGAAGTAATAACAGCAACAGTTCCTGATATTTGCATTAAGGAAAGCATTTCTTGGAGAATACAAAGTGACAACAAGATTCTGATAATGGTTTTAATTTAAAAAATAAGATTTAAAAAATAAGATTTCAGACCCCAAGTATTCAATATAGCTCTTATGTACACTATGGAGAAACTTGCAAAAATTTTAACTTCTTTACATTCTGCTTTGGGGATCAGTACATCCTGAGATGGTGGCCAATCCATGACTGTGGGCAAGGCACTTCCTACCTTTCTTAAGCCTGTTTCTTCATTTCCGTTGAACGACTTTAAGGATGTTTTGGCTTACAGGTCTTTGTTTTTGGAATTCAAAAGAAAAGCAGGTAATTACTGCCAGAAGACACCAATAAAGCTTGCATCTTAAGTGTTCACTACGTTAACGTGTCCTTATTTGTATGAGTGACGTTTTGGCCCCGAGATTTTTAAACAGCACGCTTTGTATGGGCTACTAAAACCCGAGGAGCATAACTTGGCCATCATCACTATGACCCATTACAATTGCAACCAATCATCTCTACTCTACCAATCAACTGATACACTTCAAGTGACCAGAGAGCAAAAATTCAATTTGTAGACCACCTGTACATTTTTTTTTTTTACAATCCTGAAACAATGACCAAATCAGGCACGTAACAGTACGTGAAAGAAACAAACAGAACTCACAAAACCATCATCGCCAGGCGGGGGGAAGCTGTCCATCCCAAACTTGTGCATTTAAGAGCGAGGAAACACAGTCAAGGGGCGGAGAGGATCCTTACACGAGGCGACGTCCTGGTTCTCAATAGCTGCACTCGCATTTGTTCTTTTTAAGATTAACACGAAATGATGCCTCGGGTCCCCCGGAGGCCTCGGAGGGCGGCAGGGCCCCGGCCCGGCCCCGCGGCTCAGCCCGCTCCCCGGCCCCGCGGGCCCCCGCTCCCACACCCGCCCCCGGGGCGCCCGCGGCACCGCGACCTCGGCGGCGCCCGGCCCCGGCCCTCAGGCACCATTTCGAGGATACTGTTGATGTAGTTCTCCAGCGCGGATGTCATGGTGCTCCGCCCGGACCCTCCGGGCCACCGAGCGGTACCGGCGACTAGGAGACCTAAAAGCGCCCGCCAGAAACGAACGGGATTCGCGCCCGCTGACGGCAGCAAGTACCGCGAGACTTGACAGAGCTCAGCGTCCCAGCCTGGAGTCAGAAGTTGAAACGGGCTCGCTCACCAAGCCGGAACACCCGGAAGACCTTTGGTGCGCGTGCGCATCATCCACTTCCGGGTGGTGTTACGGAAGCCGAGACGGACAAAGGCTTGCCCGGGAGATGGCGGAAGCGAGGTTGTGGCTTTTTAAAGGTGCGGAAGGAGGGCGGAGATGGCAGAGTAAGTTTTCTAGCAGCGGGAAGTAGGAGCTGGTAGCTATCGGGACCATATATTTAAAAAAAAGACGAGGAAGGCGAAGGGAGATGTTCTTTCTGAAGGATACACAGACGGAGGGAAAGGAATCCCTAGTTTTCCTCAGCACAGGATGAAATGTTAATAAAGCCAAGTGGCTCAGGATAGTGTTGTACCTGTTATAACCATTCAATGCACACACAGTGCTGGAGAACCCAACCGTGAATATTACGTTTGTATATTCCACACTTGATCCTAAAACTGCTCCAAAATGGAGGCCTTGGGCTTTTCTTTAAGAAACCACAGGCCCAGGCAGGTAAAATGTGTAAAACTCCCGTAGGAAGTAGATTTATAGCCGTTACTTTCCCACTGAGTCTACCTTTCCTCAAGGTAAAATTAGTTAATGAAAGCCACTGTGTCACTGTGAAAGGACTGATTCAGGAAGAGTGTAAAATAAGGAGTTTTAGGAACACACCAGCCTTCGGACTACAACAAATCGAACACATTAAGTATTTTATTTAAAATGTATATTGCATTCCTGAAAATCATTACATGCAGAAAAGTCGGTCTTAATTGAATAACAGCTTAAGTGTTGTGGGAATGATGGTTTAAAAAGTAAACTGAGTGAAGATTGCCAAACTTTGGTATCACCTGGCATCTTTTTTTGCATATATTAAGAGTACGATGGGGGGATTAATTGGAGTAATTACATAGATGCAGGCAGTGCACTTTGAACAAGTCACCCTTTCTACTATATGCTTCTTTCTGTTCGTTTAACACACCCCTCCTACTCCTGCTCACCTAGAAATGGTTAAAAACTGCTAGTGCTTGGCTTTTATACACAAACATTCTTAGTTACAGGGTATGTGGTGAGAGACTAGCCTCTAAAACCTTTCTAAATGACTATAGCAACATTCAGTAGTCAGTGAACTATAGCATTGATAGAAACTGATCCAAATAAAAAATATATAAGCTTTATTTAAAGAACATGTATGTAAAATTCCTCACAAAGAAATGTTACCACCTTAAAAAAAGATTGAACTTAAAGAATGATAGTATAACTGGGTGCTGATGGCTCATGCCTATAATTCTAGCTACTCAAGAGGCTGAGATCTGAGCATCAGGGTTCAAAAAAAGTCTGTGAAACTTTCTTCTCGAATAAACTAATCAGCAAAATCAAGTTCAAGTGGTAGAGTACTAGCCTTGAGCCAGAATAGCTCAGGGATAGCTCCCAAGCCCCGAGTTCAAGCCCCTGGACTGGCACAAACACACAGAATAGCAGCATTAAAGAGTAGACTTGAAGATGATGAAAACAGGGGCAGGAGAACATCAGAAGATGCAAGTAGAGAAGCAATTACAGACTTTGCAGAAAATACTATGTGACTAGAGTTGTATGCTTTGATTCATTATGTTGCGTTTAAAACAAAGATCTAAGAAAACTTCAAAACTATTGGAAGAGTGAAGACTGTACAGTGAAATGACATTATTTGAGGCCTAGTAAAATCATACAACCAACTAAATTCCTCTCCCTTTCAGCGTTTATGTCTTCCTAGCACAAAACATTAAAATGCTACAAAAAAAAAACTAAGTATGAAATCCCCGCCCATCTACTGTTATTCCCCTAGTTAATACTAACTTGTGAGCTAATATATATTATAAAATCTGCTCCGGCACAACAGACTATTAATACTCTACTGAAAATCTGAGCTTTAAATACATGTAACTTGCTCTATTGTATTTATCTTCTCTTTAATTCATCCTCTCAACACAAGGTAATTTTGGGGGTGGGCATTTCATACGTATCTGACTTTTCCTTAGAAGAAACTTGGTTTCATATGACTTGGGGCAGGTTTTTTAAATAGCACATAAAGAGTATGATTCATCCAAATGAAGTACCAGAGCTGAACAGTTTTAGTCTTTTGAAATCTTACCAAGTGTGTGTTACCATAACAAAGCAGATTAAGGAACATTATTTTCAGTTGAAGGCATTTACTTGTATATTTACTTGTGTTTTTTTGTTTTCCTTGACAACAACACAGGGAAATTATATTACTTTTTCCACTGTGATTTTGGCATACATGCCAAAATAATATATATGAGAATTTAGTGCACGTATATGGCTCACACACACACACACACACACACACACACACACACTCCTCACTATTTACCTGTACTGGTCTGGTCTTGAACTCATTATATAGCCTAGACTGGCCTAGAACTCATTATTCTTCTGCATCAGCGTCTTCAATCTTGGATTGAATATGTTTACCACAATATCTCATCCAAAATAATATTGAAGGTAGAAATTAACTTAGATCTCGAGTCTTCAACCACTTTTCGAGAAATATAATAGGTAGTGCTATAGTTTGAATATGGGTAATGTGCCCCCAGAAGTCTATGTATTAAAGGCTTGCTTCCTAGCATGGTGTTATTGGAAGGTGGTAGAACCTAACAAGGATGGAGAATTTTCTTTCTGCCACACACCATTTGGGTAATTATAACATTCTCAAGCCATACAAAATTCTCAATACAGACAGACTGCTGTAGACACATGACAAGAAGCATATATGTCTGTCCCATCATGTATCAAATGATTTTATAGGTTTTATATGACCCATAGTCTGTATATTCCCCACCCCATACTAAGGCCATGCGCTGAAAGGACACTAGTACTGCAGTCTCCTCTCTATACTTCCTGTCTCTCAATGCCACTCTTCCTGCCAACTGTGTGCTCCGCTAGTTGCTATCCAACCCCTTCATTGGAAGCTACCTTATTTGGATTTGAACTCCAAAAACTGTGAACTAAATAATCTTTTTTCATAGTGAAGTATCAGATACTTTCTTATAGCAACATGAAATCGAGTGTAGATTGAGTTGGGCTTGTTGAAGACATTCACTGGTGAGAGCAAGGTTGGTGTTTTGATTTCTAGGGAAAACCAAGGTTATGTTATGAGGGCTGAATAATGTGAGACAAATAAATGGAGTTATGAGAATGAAATATGAAAATTATATTAAGAAAAGTTAAGCACAAATAACCTTGAGACACTAATGGAAAGAAAAATACCTGAAACTACACTAATATATAGAGGCAGAAAATGGAAAAAATAACTTTTCTTTTTCTATTTGTAATAAGTTCCCTTCATGTAAGTTTTGTTGTATTATTTCTATAAATTAAATAGAATTAGCCTCCCACTTTTACCTTTTTTGCTTTTGGACCAAGGGTCATAAATAGTTAGAAAAAGGAAGTTAGGGATTTGAAGCCCACATTATTTATTCTGTGAATTAACAAAGAATCTCAGTGACTTTTTCATGGTATGAATCTGTAATGACCTATGGGTTTCTAGTTTTTGTTTTTAGCAGTTTTTTTTAACAATGATTGATAATAAAAAGCCAGAAATGAGGGTGTAGCTCAAGTGGTAGAGCACCAGCCTTCAACCCCCCCAAAAAAAATCTAAGTAAGAGCACAGGTGCAGAGTACAAACCCCAGTATTCCCTCCCCCTGCCCCCGCCACAACATTATTTCGCAAGATACTAATTTTTGAGTCTTATAGATAATCAGCATTCATTATTATCTCATTTTCTGCTTTTGTAGGTAGATTTTTCACACATGAGAAGGAATTGTTATCTAAATACTGCAAGACACATTGGCACTTTTCAGCTATCAGTAAGAATAAGAATAGAAAGCTAGGCGCTGCTGGCTCACACCTGTAATCCTAGCTTCTCAGGAGGCTGAGTCCTAAGGATTGTTTGAAGCCAGCCCAGGCAGGAAAGACTGTGAGACTCTTATCTCCAATAAATTACTCAAAAAAGGCTGGGAGACGCGCTGTGGTTCAAGTGGTAGAGTGCTAGCTTTGAACCAGATCTTAGGGACAGTGCCCAGGTCCTGAGTTCAAGCCACAAGACTGGCACCAAAAAAGAAAAGAAAAAAACAAATAATGCCTTCCCCAAAAGCATCTATCTTTCATTCCTTGTCACCTCTGATCATGTTAGCTTACACACAAAATGGAAATTTTAGGTGTAATTAAAGTTAAGGACCATTAAGGAAAGGAAGCTCCTGGATTATAAGAGTGGACCCAGGAAAATCATAAGAGTCCTAAAATTGGAAAAGGATGGGTTTGACACATAGAAAGTGATTTCCCTGTTAGTGATTTTAAAGTTTGAGGAAGGAGCTATGAGTCCTGTAGACAGATTTAGAAGCTAATTAATGATTTTACTTTACAAGCAGTAGTCTAACAAAGGAAAGGAACTGAATTCTACAGACAGTATAAGAGAGGCAAAAATTTTTTCTCCCCTACAGTCTTTCAAAAGGTATACATTCTATAACATTGAGCTTAGTACACTCAGATGTACACTAGACTTGTGACCTTGAGCCCTATAAGATACAAAGTTATATATATGTTTTTGGTCATTTATTCTAAGAGAAATAGAAAAGTAATGATTCAATTTATTATCTTCCTTTTGTTGGGGATTAAGACTATGCAGGGTCTTAATCATTGCCTCATGTGATAATTCATAGAATGATATAATGGAAGTTTTCATACATGAGCATGATAGAAAAGAGTGGTCTCCATTTTAACTTATGTACCAGAAAACCAAATTAAAAGTCACAAATGTGTCATAATTCACATTTGGATTGAAGCAAATGTTCAGAAGAGTTTTTTGTTTCTTAAACAAAAAGATAATTTCAATTAAAGACAGCTGTTTGTAGAGAGCATTAATCATTGAACACTCCTTTTATATCTTGAGAATTCTAATTTTGTTGATAGTGGCAGCTCAATATATCAGTCACATTTTTCCCGGAGCTTCTTGCA